ATGCACACGCACATACGCCAAAAAAAAAGGAAAAGGAAAATAAAATAGAGAAAACATATCGTCAATACCGGAGAGAGGCTAAAAAGAAGAAAGGAAATACAGGGGATGATTGTGTGTATCACACACACACACACACATACACACACACACACACATGGAGAGTCACATAAGAGAGACAGGCAATGACGAGTGTATACCGTTAGAGTCATCAGAAAGCAGCCAAGGACATAGAACGTGCGTGTATATATGTGTGTGTGTGTGTGTGTGTGTGTATGTGCGCTTACCAACGTACATACGAGACCTTCGTTAGAGGGCCGAACAAAAAACTCTGTCTTTCCCTCAGCACCCTCTATTATGTTCGTTGATCCGAAGGAGCCAAGAACATCTGGTGCTGCTGCTGCTGTTACTGCTGTTGCTGCTCTGTGTATGTGTATGTGTGTATGTGTGTGTGCGTGTGCGTGTGTGTGTATGTGTGTGTGTGTGTAAGTTTTATGAAGAAGGAAAGGAAGAAAGAAAGACGTATGTCTCTATGATCGAATCCTTTACCTTGGAAACGCACACACACACACACACATGCACGCGCGCGCGAGCATAGGATGTATACAATGACACATTCGTCCCCATTTTTATGCGACAAATTGATGTTTTCCATCTCTCTCTCTCTCTCACTCTCTCTCGCTCTCTCTTTCTCTCTCTCTATTTTTCTCTCTCTATCTCTATCTCTCTATCTCTATCTCTATCTCTATCTCTATCTCTATCTCTATCTCAATCTCTCTCTCTCTCTCTCTCTTTTTTTCTTATTCATCATCGAAGCTCGGGATGTTCTTCTTCCTTTTTTGTCACTAATAACGAACGTGTCTGTATTATGTTACAGTAGGGGAAAATGATCGTCGATAAGTGGGCCTAAGGCTCCAATTCTTAGATTGTCTGATCTTTTTCGGCGATTGAACTTTTATCCCGATACATTCATATCGAATTAAGAAAAATTAAGAAAATTAATATTACGGAAATAAATATAAACGGAGTATATATATATATATATATATATATTGTGCAGAGACAGTGATAGAGAACGGACGAACGGAGAAAGGGGAAAGAAAGTAAAACAACAAAAAATAGTCTTAGTAAAGAAACGAGGGAAGAATGGAAGTGAAAGAAAAATTAAACAAAAAAAAGAAAAAAAAAGAAAAGAAAAAAAAATAAAAATTAAAAAATAAATAAGAATAAAAAAAAAAAAAAAAGAAAAGAAAAACAAGAGCCAACAAAGGATATAGCGACACAAACTTCCGCCTTCGCGCCAAAGCTGAAAGAAAATATAAAAGACAACCGCAGCCCGGGGCTTCTTAAAGAGCAGAGCTTTTGAGTTTGCAGAGTAGTCGCGCTTCTAACAAGAACACGGTGCTCCTAATAAAAATAGTGATATATATATATATATATATATATATATATAATATTATAATAATAATAGTAATAATAATAATAATAATAAAAAATAAATAGTAATAATAATTATAATAATAATAATAATGATAATAATTATAATAATAATGATAATAATAATAATAATAGTGGAAACACGAAAATGTAATAATACGCGTTGGAGCATTGGTTGAATTTCTTCTCAGTAGAACTGGATGAAACTCGTTTTTGAGTTGATGATTAAAGCGAATGTAAGGAAGAATAAATGAAAAACGAAGAGAAATGAAAAAGAATCAAACAAAAAAAAAAGAAAAGAAAGGAAAAGAAAGAAAGAAGAGAAAAGAAATAAAGGGAAAAAAGAGAAGCTGTCGCTTTTTTTTTTTTTTCCCTATAAACCTCGCGGATCATTTTAGGATGCCTTCCGTTGTTGTCGTTCTTGGTATGTTGACAAAGTAAAATAAAAAAAGAAGAGAGAAAAAAAAAGAAAAGACAAGGAAAAAATGAGAGATTGGGGAACAACGCAAAAGGGGGGATGTGAAAATTAGTAAAGAACATTGGTTGAATTTAAGAGCGATAAAGATAGAGGAAAGAGAATGGAATATAGAAGAAAGAAGAGCAAATACAAAAAGAAATAAAAAAAAGGTAAAAAAAAGAAAAAGCAACTATTACCCAGAGTCATTTTTGAATGGTCCGCGTATGAAATACGTCTGGCTATTTCGCTTTTAACGGCAATTTTATCGATGAAATTTACGGCAGCTAATTAATAGCAATCAGTGCAAATTCAATTAACATATCTGATTAGCAAACTTCACTGAAGTCAATGAATCACCGTAAGACGTGACTACTAGAGAACGACAATCGATCATTCGCCTTTATTATCGAGATCAAGAAAAGGAAGAGAACCCAAGAAATCGTTCGATTGTACTTCTTTTATCTTAAGTTTCAGAAAGAGAGAAAAAGGGAAAGAGAGAGAGAGAGAGAAAAAGAGAAAGAGAGAGCGAGATAGTGTCTGTCCTTAATCGAAGGAAAAGAGAAAGAAAAAGGATTCAAAGAGTAAAAGGCATGTTCCTCTATCTTCGAATTTCTCTCTCACTTTCTCTCTCTTTTTCCCCTCTATCTCTCTCTCTCTCTCTCTCTCTCTCTCTCTCTCTCTCTCTCTCTCTTTCTGTTTCTCTCTTTTTCTATCTCTTTCTCTTTCTCTCTTTTTCTATCTCTTTCCTTTTCTCTCTCTCTCCCTTTCCTTATCTTTTTTTTTTTGAACCAGAACGCAATGATCATGGTACTTGTACAAGCCACACTCCATATCCCACTTCTTTAGTTTACAACCCTTTCTGGTTTTTTCGGAGAACCATCACCCCTTAGTTCGAACCTTTAAAATCGATTCGCCAAGGACGTTGTCGCATAATCGACATTCACTCCAAAGGATTTTTCATCCTTCGGGAGAGAATCTCCGGTTGATGTTCCGTAAAAGCAAGAGGAAATAAGAGAGAAAGAGAGGGAGAGAGAGGGAGAGAGAGAGAGAGAGAGAGAGAGAGAGTGAGTGAATGAGTGAGAGGATGAGAAAGAAAGAGACGGAGAGAGAGAGAGAAAAAAGAGTGAATGAGTGAGAGGATGAGAAAGAAAGAGACGGAAAGAGAGAGAGAAAGAGAGAGGAGAGACAGTGAATGAGTGAGAGAATGAGAAAGAAAGAGACGGAGAAAGAAAGAGAGAGAGAGAAAGAGAGAGAGAAAGAAAAGGAGAGCTTATTTTTTCGAGAAAGCAACGAGTGTGAGTGAGATATATATATATATATATACATATATATATATATATATATATATATATATATATAGAAAGAGAGAGAGTATCTGCCTTCGTGGTGATAATATAAAAGTCTATCACTTTTTCTCCTGGCATCCTAACGCATACTTCGTTTACACTCGTTTGTTCACTCTCTTTGTTCACACTTTACTATCTATTTCTTTCTCTCTCTCTCTCTCTCTCTCTCTCTCTCTCTCTCTCTCTCTTCTACTTTCTTTCTCTTTCTCTTTCTCTTTTTTCTATCTTTCTTTCTCTCTTTATTTCCTTTTGTATATAAAGTTTTCGGTCGTCCTTGCAGCATCGTTAACGAAGCTGTTCTTTGTCAACACCCTTTCCCCATTCTTCTGCATCCTAAATCCTTCAAGCTAAATTTATAACTTAGAATCACGTGATACTTGCTTCCGGTTCTTCGGTGGAAACGAAGCGAGACAGGAGGTTGAAGAGGAAAGACGATGATGACGAAGGAATACGAAGACGAGGACGAGGACGAAGACGAAGACGAAGAAGAGGAGGAAAGCACGTTCTTTGTAGTCCAATCGCATTCGAATTCTTCGGTCAGGTTGTTCTTGCCGTCTCTCGTGAAGGAATCTTTTTAAGATGAACATGAATTCAACCTTTTCTCTCTCTCTCTCTCTCTCTCTCTCTCTCTCTCTATCTATCTATCTCTCTATCTCTCTGTCTGTCTGTCTGTCTCTCCTTCCCATTTCTTTCCCCGTTCTGTTTTTTATCTCTATCTCCGTTTTTTCGATAAAAATGGAAATGACAGGATTTTTCTATCTTTCTTTTTCTTTTCTATTTCTTTATTGTTTCTTTCCTTTTTTTTCTTTCTTTCTTACTTGTTTTTCGATGAAAGATAGAGAACGAGAAAGAGAGTCTATTTTATGATTTTTATTCCCTCTCTTCGGTTAGAATGTAATTGTATCTTCTTCGTCATATTAATCGGGAGGAGGTAGCTTTATCTCTTTCTCTCCTTTGTTGTTATTATTATTATTATTATTATCATTATCATTATCATTATTATTATTATTATTATTATTATTATTATTATTATTATTATTATTATTATTATTATTGTTATTATTATTTCTTTTTCGTTCGTTTACATCTTCTTCCTTCTCCTCCTCTTCGTTAACGTTGACGAGGAATATTGAAGTCAAAGTCGATTCCTTCGAGAAAGAGTTTTATTGGCTAAACTCGATACAAGAGGATCGATCGATCGATGTAAATAAGTTGTGCGATTTTCATCCGCACGGCGACTAGTCAAATGAAACTAATAATTATTTTTATTCTTATTCTTATTCTTATTATTATTATTATTATTATTATTATCATCGATATTATTATAATATATATATATATATATATATATATATATATATATATATGTATATATATATAAATGAATTATATATTATTACGATCAAAGGAGGCGAACGAGTATAGAAATGAATCTATTTTTTTGGACACTCGAAGCGCACATAAACGATGCGATATTGCCACATCCCGGCGATCGTTGTTTATATTATTATTATATATTGATAATATAAATTAATGATAATAATGTTAATTAGAATGATAAGGTTTTCCCTTGGGAAAGTTGGAGAGGAGATTTAAAAAAAAAAAAAAAAAAATAAGAGAAGAGAAATGAAAATAAAAGCGGCTCTCGAGCGAGAAGGGATTCGAATCGTCGAGACTCGTTTCTTTTTTTTTCGATTTGTTATCAAAATAATTTATTTCTGCTATGTATATGTGTATATCTTTCTCTCTCTTTCTCTCTCTCTCTCTCTCTCTCTTTTTATCTCTCTCTCTCTTTTCATGTTCTTCTCTTTCTATCGTTCGAACAATACTATCAATCTTGCGTCTCGCGGAAAGGAGATATCTGAGAATTTACGCAGCGAGCTCTCATCTTTTTCTTCTTCTTCTTCGTCTTCGTCTTCGTCTTCTTTTATTTTCTTTCTTTTTCTCTTTCTTGTTTTCTCATATCGTTTCGACTTATCAAAATCGTAAAGGGGAACGAGAGAGATCGGCGCTGCGGGCAGTCCGAGCGATAAAAAGAATTTTTCTTCGAGCCATCGACGGCTCGTTGTTATATATCCAGAGTCTCGATTTTTTTTCTTAACAAGGGAGAGAAATGAAAAAAAAAAGGAGAAAAGAAAAGGAAAGAAAAGAAAAGAAAAGAAAAAAGAAACAACAAGAGAGAAAGGAGAGAAAAAACGAAAAGAAAAAGAAAACGACAAGTAGACAAGTAGAGTAATAAGGAAGAAGAAAAATATTTGATGTTCTCCTTTTTTTTTTCTCTTTATCTCACTGTCCCTCTTTCTCTCTATTTATCTACCCATCTTTCTTCTCTTTCTCTCTTTTGAGTCTATTCTTGTTCGAACACTCGACGATCTCGCGGCAGAACTTCGTCATTTACCATCTTTTTCTCCATCTCTTCCTTTTAATTAATTGATTAGAGTTCGACGATAAGTTTACGAAAGTAAAGTTTACGAAACTGACGCCGGCGTAGAAAAGAAGATATCTTCCTTGTGCCCTTACTCGAATAAGCGCGAGCTCTCTCTTTTCCACTCCCTCTCTCTCTCTCTCTCTCTCTTTCTCTTTCTTTCTTTTTTTCTCTTTCTTTTTACATAGAACTTTATCGTGAAAAACCAAAGAAAAAACCTAAAACTCGATAAAAAGAGAAAAATAGATAGATAGATAGAGACAGAGAGAGAGAGAGAGAGAGAAAGAGATAGAGAAAGGGCAGGAGAAGGAGAGAGAAAGAGAAAGAGAGAGAGAGAGGAAGATAAAAGTTAAGGACGAAAGGGAAGAGCCGGACTCTAGGCTTCTTCGTCCTATTATCTCGAGCTCTCGCGTTTATTCTAATTACATATATCAAATTAGCGTTCGATCGTTTCCCCTTTTTTTCATCTCTTCATTCTGATTCGAGAGATCACGATGTTTGTCGCTCTCCATTACACACTGTAATTAAAGGAAGAAATAAACAAAACGAAAGAAAAAAAAAAAAGAAGAAAAACAACAAAAAAAGAAAATAAATAAATAAATAAAAAAAAAATAATAATAATAATAAAAAGAAGCTCACATTTGTAATATATACAATACCGTTATGTCGTGGAGTGTAATTATTCGTACTTAATATATTACAATGAAGTTACATTTTACGTGTGCGCGTATACATTTATACATACATGCATATATATACATTATATATATATATATATATATATATATATATATATATATACATAAAAGAGAAAAGAAAGAATAAAAGAAGACATATATATTTATTATTATAACTTGTGTGTGTATATATATATATATACACACTCACACGTTCAAGAATTTATTCTCCAATCGTTCTCGCTCGATACGTCGTCTACGTTGGAGTATATAAATATTGTTAAGAATAAATTTAATTATTTTCTTCTAAAACACCGAGAAACAACCTTCCTTTTATTTATTATGTACGATTGAGAGCCACGTACGAATAATAAAAAGGTTTGGGAGGAAAAAAAAAATTACAAACAAATGCTCTATCTTTCATTCATTTAATCAAACGTAATTTCCCTTTCCTTATTTTCTTCTTCTTTTTTGATTTTTTTTGGCTTCTTTCGTTCCTTTTCCTTTCGTTTTTTTTTTTTTGGTTTCATTCTTTTTTTTTCCTTTCTTCTTTTTTTTTTATTTTTTTTTTTTTTTATTATTTTCTCTCTCATTTCTCTTAAACAATTGAATTTTCTCGTCGAGTTGTACATTTGTACGTAGGTATCTTGTGTATGTAAATATATATACACACAGAGATACACATAACTGTACATATGAGATCTTATGAAAGGTGGCAAATCAACAAGTAGCTTTGTACCATCCAAGGTTGGACTATGGTTTATTTAGGCGAATTTCTTGAACTCAATTGGAACGAATAATTGATGTATAAGTACATAAATACATACGTAAATACACACGTTATATACCAGGTAGGTACTTATGATTTAATACATATATAAAGGTACGTAAATATGAGAAGATGAAACGAGAAAAGTGCTGAAAATTTAAATTCAGGGAGAAGAGAAGTTTGCCACGGTTTACAGCATTCTCGAGCCGTGAAATCAATGTTCCAGTTTGATCTCGATCGGACTATGGCAACTAAAGGACGAACCAGATGCCGGAAGTCGAACGTGCTTCGAAGAACTTCGTATTACGAGCAAAGTCTGACGGTATAATTTATTAGTACCATCGTCGAAAAAGAGAGAGAGAGAGGAAGGAACGAGCATAAAAGTTAGGACTACCTTGATAGTTCGTAATTACCCGAGATGATTAAAACTTTTTGGTACATCGAGATTCGCGCTTGGCCTACTCGTTCTACTTGCTTTTTTTACGGTCCAATGATGTTCGTTCTCTCTCTCTCTCTCTCCCTTTTCTCGTCTCTCTGTCTTTCTATCTTTCTATCTTTCTTTCTTTCATTTTTTCTTTCTCACTCTCTCTCTCTCTCTCTCTCTCTCTCTCTCCATTTTTCTCTCACGGAATAATTATTGTCTCCAAACGTAATTTAAAAATAAGAGAGTATGGAAGAAAGAAGGGGAAGAAAAAATAAATAAAAAAGAAAGAAGAAAAGAAATGAACTAGAACAGCGACGCTATTGAAGTAACCGATCCTTTTGAATGAATTACTTGCGCCTCATTGCTACGTTCTCGTGTGCCTTTGATATCTTGGAACGATTTATCAGGATCTTTCTTTTACGGGGAACATGTAAATCCTTGAACGTTAAAGAGAGATCCAGAAGATCATTTGAGAAGACTTTTCGCGTTCGTTGTCTTCGTCATCGTCATCGTCATTGTTGTCGTCGTCGTCGTTGTTGTCGTCGTCGTTAAACGATACTCTCTCAAACGATTCAACGTTTTCGACAGGCGTTCATTTTGTCGTTGAAGATGTTCGATTTTCCGACGATTCGAGATCAATTGCCGCGTCATATCCAGCATCGGATCATCTCCAGGCATTAACACTCGTTCATCGTTTAATCCTTCGGTTTTATCCGTATCAGGTTCCTTTTCGATATCACGATATTTCATTTCACCTTTAAACTCTATCTCTAACTTCTTCAATTTAATACGGTACTCCCTTTTTATCTGAAAGTAACATGCACGTATGCGTATGTTTCTATGTTCATATATGTGTTTACGAAATATTCGATTACGTTTTAAACTAGAAAAAATTTCTTTTACTTTCTTTCACGAAGCACGTACATACTTACATATAGATCTCTTTTATATATATATATATATATATATATATATATATATATATATATATAATGTATCTGTATTTTATCTTACCTATATATACATCTTTCTATGCAACATATATATATATATATATATTAACTATATCTGTGTAAATACAAACGTATACGTGAATACATACATATGAATATATATTTACGTGTGTTGTCGATCAATATTACGAATTTCGACCACGTTCTCGTGTCAAAATGTCACGAGCAATAGAGATGATCTCCCGTCAGGGAACACTGTTCTCTCTCTCTCATAGGAATTTTGTTCAACTCTCTACTCCTCTCCCCCGTTCACCCCGTCGACCTTACCTGCCTGCATCTTTTCCTAGCTCCTATCTCACCTTACACCACCCTCACCGTACCGTACAATCGACTTACCGAATCATTTTCTCTCTGCAATTCGGTCAGCAGGATCCGAAGAGCTCTTTCTGTCTCGAGACACGCACCGCGAGTATCGACGATCTTCTCGGTTAGTCCTCTCACGCTGTTTTCCAGTTCCAATTTATTCTCAGCCAGTTTCACGATCTGACTTTGCAAAATGTCCCATGACTCCGCTGCGATACGAAAAATCCTAAGTGTTGAGAGAGCGAAAAAGAAAGAGAGAGAGAGAGAGAGAGAGAGAGAGAAGGAGACATATATAAAGAGATAGAGATAAAAGAGAGACAGAGAGAGAGAAAGAAAAGGAGAAAAAGAAAATTTGCTTATTGAAGAGATCGTAGTATTTGAAGAGAGAAATTCTATCGAACGGTTTCTCTCTTTCTCTTTCTCTTTCTTTTCTCTTATTTTTTCTTTTTCTTTCTTCTATCGTTTCTTTTCTCCATTTTTCTTCTTTGTACTCTCTCGTCCGTAACTCCATCCGTAAGATTTCAATTTATCTTCCGAATCGTTCGCTCTCGGCCGTATTGCCTTTTTCATCGAGCGAGAAACGGTCATATTTCCTGTAATTACGTCGATATTACCGGGCATCAATTGGATTTGCTTGTCGCCTTTCCTGCATTTTTTTTTCAAGTTACTAACTAAACCATAGTTGGACGATTCACAACGTTGATTTAAATTCAAGGGGAAAAGTGGAATTGGAATTATTTCGAGTCAGGCCTGGAAATGACAAACCACTCTTGGACAATTTGAGTTTCTCTCCCTCCCTCTCTCTCTCCCTCTCTCTCTCTCTCTCTCTCTCGAGTATTTGAATATTTCGAGTGGTTTTACTCTTTCGAGTGTTTGCCCATGTTAAAGATAAAATCGTGAATACGTAGGTACGTATAAATAAACGATGATGATATTATAGGAATCGAAGAGATTATTCGATTACCTGTACGTTCCAATTTGATACGTGTATCCTCGAGTTCGATGGTTAGCTTCTCTTTCATCTCTTCCATTTGAAAATTCTTTTCTTTCAATTCATTGAAATTCCGTGTAACTATATAACACGAAATACATTTCAATATGATTTTTAATATTATATATAGTCGTTTGTATACACATATCTATATACCTATTAAAAATATCTACATATCTACATATACCGATCGCGAATGTTCCCGTTTAAATCATTTTTCTCAGAGCGAGTGAGTCTGCACGTGCGAAAACTAAATATAAGTAGTCAAAATGTTTTATTCATCGCGGAGAAACGAGTTTTCTCTTCGCTTACGAGACCATAGACAGACGCGTATAGCAAGTAATAAAATTTCCTTGTTTCCTTTCGCTACCATTTCTATTTCGTTGTAGTCTTCTTCTTCTTCTTCTTCTTTTCGTTTTTTTCTTCTTCTTTTAGTTCGACTAGTTTTTTAAAAATAAAGTCTGTAAAGACTGAAGATGATCAACGATCATGGTACCTCAGCTGATCGATCGATCGTTCGTTCGTTCGTTCGTTCGTTCGAGTAGCCAGACTACTCAATAATTCGAAAACTCAGCTCTTCGTACTTTTTCTAGGTTATTTAATATATACCTATATACATACATATATATATATATACACATAATCCACAGAGAAAGTTTTCAGAGAATGAATAGCCGGGTTACTCCGAAAAAAAAAAAAACGAAGAAGACGAAGAAGAAGAAATAGGGAGGAGTAAGAGTAGGAGTAAGAGAAGAAAAAGTAGGAGAAGGAAACGACGAAGTAACTAGATACATAGAAGAGAAACCTACCATTTTCGATCCTACCTTCGAGCTGAAAATTTTCACCTCGCAAAAGCTCAAAGTCCGTTCCTTTACGCGACAATTCGGCTTCGAGGGAGTTCAGCTTCTCCTCGTAATTCCTCTTTATCGCCTCCCTTTTCATATCATTCCCCTGCATCATCTCGAAAGTCGTCTTAACGTCCATCTCAATAGCCGCCGCGAGTCTCCTCATCACGGCCCATTGAGTCTTCTCGTAAATATCGCCTTTTAAGAGATCCCTATGTGAAAAGGATCGTCAACGACGGTTCCGGCGGACTATAATACCTGCCGGAAGTAATACCTTTCTTCAGCCACGGCAGAAATTAATTTATTCTCCTGGAAGGCACTTCTTATCGCATTTATCATTCGTAAAATGGTCTCGCTCGCTATGTTGCAACTCTCGCAATGTTTAAGCTCGCAACTTGCTTGAACCTTTTTCGAAATGTAATCTTTTTCCTCAGAGTCCTCGACCTCTCTTGTTTTCTTTTTCATCTACAATCATTTCTTTCGAATAACTTACGGATCTCGTTTAATCATCGTATTGACGGGCCCTCGGATATATATATATATTTTTTTTTTTTTTCTGGTTTTGGTTTTTTATTTTTTTTTATTTATTTTTTCTTTTTTTTTTTTTACCGAGTCTCTTCTCGAAAGATATTCCGGTATGATCTTCAAACGATTCCAAAGGAGATGCACGATGTGTGCGAGTGACACGTAATTCGGCCTTTTCACGTTCACCGTTTCTTTCGAGATCTCCTCATCTTTTTCTTCTACGAGAGGATACTCGTCTATGAAATCCAGGATAAGACGTAGAACGAAGTGGATCCTGCGATGAAATAAACGAGAACATCGAACGTATTATATCCATATTTTCTATATAGACTTGGCGTGAAATTATATATATATATATATATATATATATATATATATATAAAAGTAAAAAAGATTTGTTACACGGATTTATTAACACGACATTGAGAAGATAATATTATTTATCTTAAATATTACGATTTAATACGCGACGAACGTTCTTACGGTCTTCGTAAAGTTACTCCGGCAATAACATCCTGCCTGGACCACAACTTTTTAATATATACAGCTTGGTGCAGTCTAGTATACGATAAGTAGAATAAAGTGATACGGCTGGGTCACTCATATAGACACACACACACACACATATATATATATATATATATACACATTATATATACGCACACATCACGAAATATGTATCGAGTATCGGTTATCGAATATCGGCGAACGTTCCACCCTGTTGCAGTTAGTAAGCAGGGAAGTAGACTTAAGAATGTGTGTGTGTGTGTATATGTGTGTGTACACTTACATACCTATGTTCTCAGGATGGGTTAAATAAAATGTTACAAGCTCTTTTCTCTGTAACTATTCTTAGAGATAGTTATTTTGAGAATTAAATGGATTATTGAAATCTTATAATTTGAATAACAATAAATTCAAGATTCCAATAATTAACATGTGCCATTTTATTAAAAAGAATTTTTAATGTTTTTTTTTTTAAACATTTATTTAATAATCAATATCATTTAAACGATATCACTGAATTAAAATGCAAATTTAGATAGATATTCGATAACGATCAATGCAACTTGTATTATTTTATATATATATATAATATTATATAATATATATATTAAAAATTATATATATATATATATATACATTATAGATGTACGCATTCACACGTGTATAATACATGCGTCGTAAAACTGTCAAAAGAAACGGATCTAACGATGGTCGAAGCGTTATCGCTGGTGTTTTTGACATAAAGTTGTGAAAATGGAAGCGTCAGGTGGTGATGGACGAAGGACGATAGGATTCGTGAAAGTCGAAAAATACAAGCAACCTGTCGTAAGCCAGTTCCAAGAGAAGAATGTACAATTCCCCGGCTGAACCATCGTGCTTTTCAAGTATTTCCATAAGGCATACATTTTTTGCGAGTTTCGTAGGAAATTTCCATGAGTTATGCTCGATAAAATCGGCCAGACAACTCGAACGTATCTCCTCGGCAACGCGGTTTACCTCTCTAACGTCATTAATAATCGACATCACAAGCGACCTATTTAACTTTGGCATTGCGATTAGAGGCCGTGTTTCGTAACTGTCAAACTACTGTCAACTACGAGGAAATCGAGAATATTCGTAATATAACTTACTTCGGATTACTCGTCTTCTTCTTCTTCTTTTCCTTCTCTTCTTTCTTTTCTTGTTCTTTTTTTTTTTATTTTATTTTTTGTCTTTCTTCCTTTTTAACTTTCTTCTCCTTCTCCATCTTCTCTTCCTTTTCTTCCTTTCATCGATCCGATCAGCAATTTTCATACGACGACAAAGAGCCGTGCCAACTACCGATCGTTATACGATTTGCATAATACGAATTGTCCGGCTATACTACTACGTATCACGGAATATCGTTTCCGAATACTATGAAAACTATGCGAACGTTTAATCGACTCCAGGGAGATTCAATTTCGAGTACCCAGTAGGAGTGTCGTGATTGATGTTTAGTATCTAATGGACGTTTTCATTTGATAATATAGTGTAATTGCTTATGGTATTCACGTGAACGTGTTTCTCCGTTGGGATATTCTATTTCTATCTAATTATAGGGTAACAAGTTTGAATAGTTTAAATAACTTTAATGTCAAACTATGTTAATGATGTATAATATATAATAAGTAAGGTAATACAGTTTGATAAGAAAATGATTATGTATATATATATATATATTATTGTGTATAATAATAGGTAATTATTCCAAAAAGAAAAATACATGTTATATAATGTAGATATTCTACTGATATTCTTTTTGTTTGCAAAAGTTTTGTTTCTAAAATTAAATGTTTACTTTATTGTTTATCATTGTTAATCGACAAATTGAAATTCTTAGAATTAAAATTATATTTAGTATTAATTACAGACGAGTATTAATTACAAGTAGTTTAGAAAATTCGATAGTTCTTCTTTTTTTTCCTTTCATTTCCTTTTGACTTCTCGAAACTATTTGCGAATGTGAAAACTTTCTTCGTAAGTTTATGTTATTATCTGATAAAAAAACTCGATAAGAAAATTTATATAGAAGTACGTAACACTGTTATCTTCCATTTAAGAGATTAGATACACGTAGAAAGTTAAAGAGAAAAAGAAAAAATACAAAACAGAAAATACGTTTTTCCAAAATATTTCCATTCGATAGAATTATCCTTTAGGAATAACCTTTGAAAGTTTCCTCTATTGAAATTTCGAAAAATTGACTAAATTACGGCCGTTTGAAGTCGATCCTAGCGAGTTCGATATTATTACATGTACTATAAACTTCAAATTATGTTTTTTTAAATCGGTGCAAATAATATTTTGAAATATTACCTGAACCAATTTAAATAAAATTCGACACGATCATTATTCTCATATTATTATTTAATATTTGTCATTTAAAAATATTTAAGCAAGCGCCGTGATTTTTTTTAATTATTAAAAAACCACTGAAAATTTTTATCGAATATCGCATGGTAAATTGAATCACTCATATTTTTTGATTAAATGGAAATATTAAAAATCAGTTTTAAAAGTATTGGCTTTATTGATGTACTTTAATTGCTTTTTGTGTTTTTTTTTTTCCTTTTTCATTTTTGATAATACCCAGAGGAGATATTATGGGTATCGCAAAAAATCGTATAAAACAATTCTGTTCGGTTCGACATTGATAACACAAAGAAGATAAACGAATTGTTAAAAAATTTTTTTTTATCGAAAACTATTCTTCAAAATACGAAGATTTTTCATTAATAAAATATATTACGCGCGTTAAAAGAAGAATATCATTAAAATTACCATTTTTTTTGGACCATCTAGATATACGTAATCCTTTAAGAAAAAAGAAAAAAGAAAAAAAAAAGAAAAAAGAAAAAGAAAAACAGCTGACAAGTTAACGTAAAAATAAAATATAATTATAAATAATTTTTGGAAATTATATATATTTATATACAATATTAATAATTAGACGAAACGTATTTTATTATTTCATCGTACATAACAAAACTAACGAAATTAATTGTCGATCAGGTGTTCCCATTTAAAACGAATAATCTTTAATCGTTTGGAATCACTTTAATTCGTCGCAATTAATAATTATTATCATAAATATTTCAATTATTCTCTTACCTTCGAAATACAGTATTATCTAGAAACTGAATTGATAATAGGAGTCAGCTTGCGTATAGTGTAAGTCTACGTGTAGAAAACTAGTAATAGAAGTCGTCGAGATTTGTATTCCGAATAGATAAAGAGAGAGAGAGAGAGAGAGAGAGAGAGAG